TTTAATTTTATCTTTTTATATTTTTGCTTTTTCGTTTTTGGGACCTTCTTCTCCGGTGAGCTCAGCCTCGCCGGAGATTTCCACCGGAAGAACTCCATTAAACCCACCCCACTTCCCCACGTCTTCTCTTCTTCCCAAAACAAACCCATCAGAGAATCATCCTTCAAAAAACTTAGTCAATACCCACCCCAAAACTCAACCAATACCTTCGCAATGGAGCTCAAATCTGAACTACGAACTCACCAATAGAGAATCAACATCCAGATATTAATTTGAAGAAATACTCGAAAAATCGAAGAAACCTAGGTCCTCGTCTTTACCGCAAATTAGTTTGAAATTTCTGGCCGAAACTGCCTCAAATTAGTTCCAATCAACTCCCAAATGTGGATTCAGCTACGGTTTATGTCTCCAGCAAGATTAGACTACACCAAATCGATTTCGAACTCGCAATTTTGGACTTAGAGCGAAAAAAACCCAAATTTGGTGCACTGTTAGTCGGTTTAAAATCTGATAGAGTTTCTTATTATTGTTTAATCTTGTAGAATTTTAATTTATGAGATTGAAGCGAGCTCTATCATATTAATCTCCATTGTTCCAGGTGATGAGTAAGTGAAGATGAAGAGAGAAGAAGGAAAAAGAAAAGAAAAACATAGAAAAAATATAATAAGAAAAGTAGGCGAATAAAAAGGTGGCGAAATTAAAATTTAATATATATTTTTTGTTTCCCACTCTCCTCAAGAGAGTGTATATCACTCTTTATACCATATCAGCTTAAAAGGTAAAACTTTTTATATTTTGGATACATATAGGGGGGTCATACGACACCCATATTTTTAAGGGGTACAACTGGAACTTTGATACAACCCCAATAGGATAATTATGTATTATCCTTTCGATCTTTAATAAAAAAATTCAAAGTCAACAAAAAGCTAACCACGAGCCCACATAGTCAAATCTCGAGACTAATATCGCATCTTGTCAATTCATAACCTCACGAGTCCAAATATGTGATTAGTTTTCAAATTCGACTCAAAATTGAGATTTTAAATCATTATATTCACTTTCTCAACTTTTAGACAAAAATTCCAATTTCTTTTGTTCAAATCCATGTTTTGATGTTTGATCTCGTGATAGATTCATGTATAAGCCATAGATTTGGATTAGAATCACTTACCCCCAAGCTTCTAGATGAAGATCTAGGTCAAAACCTTCCAAAATCGAGCCCCCCAAGTCTCCAAAATGATGAAAAATGAGATAAGAAATCACAAAAATCGAACTCCTTATTTACCGGCCGAAGTTTGATTTAGGAGCTATAGCCACCAATTCTCAAGCTGACACCAAAATTTCCTCCAAAAATTGTGAAATATTCTCCAAATGCGTCGAAATTCACCCGAGCCTCCCGAGATCCTTTTCAATCATCCCAACTAGTGTGTATACCCTGTACAAACTTTTCCAAGGGCTAAAAAACATCCGAAAATATCATAACTAAGAACCAAGATCCAAACCAAAATATAAACTTTCTTAAGTTCCTCAAGTTCTAACTTTCATAAGATATGTATGAATTACCCCCAGCCCCTCGGGTGCTAAACCGAACATACATACAATTCCAAAATCATCATACAAATCTATTGAAACTTTAAAATGATAAATCCTAACTTGTTTACCCAAATTGTTGACTTTGGTCAACTCTTCTCAACTTAAGGCTTCAAGTTAGGAACTAGATGTTCCAAACTACTCCCGAACCTCTCGAGACCCGAACCATTCATACCTACAAGTCATAAAATACTAAATAAACCTAAGGGAATTATCAAAATAAGAGATGGGATCCTAGAACTCAAAACGACTGGTTGGATCGTTAAATAAATATCCTTTCATTTTCTGATTATTTTGTCTTCATATGCACATAATTCTTTGGATGAAATTTATTATAGTAGGCATGTATGCTAGCGTGCATGTGGCTTTTGGCATTTTCCTCCTCCTCCTTCTACTTCTCGCAATCCTCTTTTTCTTTCCTTAAGTTTCTTGGTAGAATATTCTAATTCTTAGATAGTAATGGAAAAGTTTCATTTACGGAACAGGAGAAAACATAGGAGCGCACATGGTCCAGCAATGTTTGAATTTGAACTCAAAATCAGAAATAGATTTATGCCAAATTGCATCCCTAATCATCTTATACGCACATAGAGACAACGCCTTTAATGTTAATTTATACGCGTAGTTTCTTTCTTAATGTTTACCCCCATGTTATGAGCTAAAATATTAGCTTATGTTAATTTAAGTATATACACAGTACCGCAATGATGCGTCTTTAAATTTGAAGCGAATTCAAAATTTAAAGTTTATACGTTCTTACTCTAAATATATGGTTCAAAAAAGCTACTAGTTATACGTGAACTCATACAAATACTATAGATGTGTTCCTGCTTCAAATAGTATTTAGCAGTAACGGTTAAGACGAAAGATCTAGATGAGACATAACATAACACGGACTTACTGTTTGTTGTTGCCTTGTTGGTATTTGAGTTGTTCGTTTTCTATATTGCTCATTGTATATGTATTCATTGAAGGCAGCCAACTGAATTGGAGAATCTACATTTTCTGTCTTCTTGTATATATGTGGTTAAGGGAATGAACCCATTTTCTAGAAGTTAATTGGGCAAGGATAGAAAAAAACTAGTTTCCATAGAAGAAACAATCATAGTTAAATTTTGAAAAGTAAATCACGACAACTATAGTGCGTTGCATAAAATTCATGTGTGTGAAAGAAAGAAGAAAACTCGATATAAAAGAATTAATCATTCTCTTTCACCTTATATTGGGTGAATTGATCGAATATTAAACAATTATCTCTTTGTTCTTTTCTTCTACTACTAAAAATCAAGTCAGAAGTTTGGAATATGGGATTAATGATATCTTTTGTTTCTTTTCCTATTTTTTATCTTGGCATTTCGTTGAGGAAAAAGCAGTTAAACTATTGTTTAAAAGAGGCACATGAACCAACTGTTATCAATGGCGATATAGAATTCTTCATGTGATTCTATTCCAACTTGCTGTGCGGCGATGTTAATGAGTGCACCTTGACTATTTTATCGCGTATCTGTTACTTTCAACCAATATGAGTATCGGATAATTTTGTCCAATTCAACTTATACAAAATTAAAAACTCACCTAACATTTTTGTGACACCTAATATGTCATTGTAAATTATATTCACTTTATTAATCGCTAGACCACATTTTTGGATGGATACCGTATATATATTATATATATAGACTGTCGATATGTTTCCTCTATAATATAATAAAAACACCTTGGTATGTAAACATTAGATTTTAATGCATGGGGCATGTATTTTGTTAGTTATGGGTGAAGACAGTGAAATGTCCCTTGAAGAGGCGCAAATATATAGTTTTATTGTTCCCTATGCAAAGAATTCCAAATGATATTGGATTCAATCTCATAATTGTAGCTATGCTTAGCTTGCGTAATTTTGAGAAGTTATTTTTGGAAATATTATATTGGTAATAATTTATTTCACTTTTTTCTCAAATTAGAATTTCAAGAATAATTTAAAGCTGTTTTTTGTAAGAAGAGCACATAGATATTTAATTTTATAGATGTCGTTGTCATCACGTATCTAGAAGCGTCAGCCAAACTTTCACCAAGTACTCGGACCTATTATAAGAATTAATGTACATGTTACTTATTATACAAAAAAAAGTTGATATTATAGGCAGAAAAGTGTTGGATGATGGAGTTTTTTTTCCCACTTGGTATCCTGCTTTGAGCCCGATTAATTCGGATTCGTGTCGAGAAGTCTCATTTGTTGTGTAAAGCGTTTCCTACCAAAATGTGACTCCATACTTGGCGTTCAAACCCGATACTTATTAAGAATGAAGGAGTATTTTTCACTTTACCATAACCTAATTTGATGGTACGAAGTTATTATATATATTGAGACTGTTCAAATAAACAATATGTCTTCCTCTTTAATAATTTTAACAAAATAAGATGAGAAAACATATTCTTTAATAATTCTAGATATATATTTGCCGGCATTTTACAATGCTTTAGTTGAAGATTTCATTCCTTTTTCTCTAAAATTTAAAGCTGTGAAAACTGTTTAATTATGATAACTCAAAAGATATAAAAACTAAAAGAGAGAGATGGTTTCTATGCGGCCAACAAATCCAGCAAGCTGTAATTAGACAAGCATCACAATTTATTTATATATTTTATTTTGTGGAGGAGTTAATCCAAAATTTATCTTTTCTACGTGCAATTGAATTTAGTAGGAAGATTACAATGACTAGCCAATAAACAAATGCTAATGGATGCCAATAATTTTCTCTACCGAGGCCCCACATAGCGAGTACGCTACCTAATTAGTGAAATTTGAACTAATAATATACAGAATAAAGTGCTTGCTTTCCCCCTGAAAAGAATTTTAATTAGATTCTGAAACTGTTTGACCAAAAAATCTTCGAGTGCATGTTGTTCAAGTGATGATGGATTTGGTAAACAATTTTTTTAAAAGGTAGCATGAATATATATCTATGATGAAAACAAGTGCAATGAATTAGACAAAACGCATGGAATATAGCTGGTTATATTCCTATTTATTTCAAATTAAAGATTAATTAAACATATACAACAAAGAAAAGAGAAGAAATTATGAAATATAAGGTTACGTTCCTGATAAGAGCAAAATACTGACGAATGTTTCATGGTTGTCGAGAAACGATGATGCTGCAGACATAAAGTGGAACAGCAAGGGCTAATTATAAATTAAAAAGCTTAATTAGGAGAAGATGTTTAGTTAAATGAATTGGATTGTAGATTAATCCTACTGCTAAGCCAGAGTCCAAGTGAAGAATGCACTCAAGTAGTGGAATGTTTAGTAGATTTAATTAGACTACTTTTCACTTGAAACGCATAATGTAGTACGAATATAGTAATTTATATAGTTACCTGCCCTTAGTATATCATTTCTTAGCTAGCTACTGCCCTGCAGCCATTGTAAAGGACACTTATTAATATTTCTTCACAAACTTTAGTACTACTCACTATATAAACAAGTACGAGCCAGGAATGTGTATGCATATTTTCCCAGCTCTATATTCCATCTTCTTCTTCTTCTTGTTCATATTATTCTGTAAATTATTACTCTATCCACTCGTTGAATCTCATTTCTCCTCATTTTCCTGTAAGAAAACATTTGTTACTTGATCTCTAAGATATTTTATAAAACTCTGTATGGATTTTGTCCTCCGTACTGAAAAAACAACCGAAAGATATTTTCTTCTTATAGCATAATATATTAATTGATTGATCAGATATATGTAGTTAGAGATGTGCACAGCAATGAATGAATCTCGAGAAGAAAGTGATGATATTATCAGTATAACAAGTGATGAAATGGCTGCAGCCGCCGCCACCATTGAGCAGATGGTAAAACAAAGAGAAGAATTTGTTCGGCCGTCATATTCCTCCTCCCATACTAGTGCTCTTCAATTTTTCAGACGAGTTCCGATGAATGAGGTACTTTTTTATGGCTTTCTCTCTCCCTCTCTCACACACACACATAGTTAGACATACAGTTTATAAACTACTACATCTTCATCTATTTTTGGCACGAAAAATAAATATATGATGAATAATATAACCAACTAAAATTTTAACAAATATTTCGTTTTTAAAGCATAATTCTAAAAGTACAATAAAACGTATATTGAACCCATTAACTTTAAATTATGTATCCGTCTCTACCCACACATAACACAGTCAGACTTGGAGAAAAGGAAAATGTAAAAGACATAACGCACAGGCAGACACATGAATGCGCTCACGTAACATTATGTTAAAAGAACTCCATAACTCTATTTTCTTCATCTGTTTTTTCAAATAACGGCACAGAGAAGCACGAGCATCTGTGTCTGCGCTGATACGACTTGAGCTTTTTCAACTTTTTTTTTTGGGTCAAGCACATGAAAGTACTTTTTTGATATAAGATTATAGGTAATTGTGAGATTTAAACTCAAGATATTTGTCTATTTTTAACCATGTGGTACTATCTCATCTAAAATTAAATTATTAGAAAAAAGTATACTTTTAATTTACTTGACTTTGCCTTCGACATCCTTTATTTTAACGTGTAGATGTATGCATTAACTATAATTCTATTTAGTTTCAGTTCTATGCTAAGCGGCCTCTCCTGGTATAAGAACTACAGTTCAATGGTAAATTAGTACATATATTATCTAAGATTTTTGGTTTTTTTTTTCCTTGTGGTTATCACTTTTAATTTGATCGTTAGCTGGAATTAGCACTCTCAAATTTCTCTATAATAATTATCGTCTATAGTAGCATTTCAGTATAACGGCTAAGTTTTTTTTAGAATTAATTTTTTATGTTATGTTATGATATATGTTCTCTATAATAGCATTTCGCTATGTATAGCAGCTAAAAAAATATTTGGAACAAACTTAGCTGTTATATAAATGCTTAACTATATAATAAAAATTTACGATCATTTTCTACATAAGGTGGCAGATGTACTAATCTTTGTTTTTCTTTTTTTTTTTTTCTGATCAAGTTTACTTTAACGATACTCCCTTTTTCGTAGACTATGAGTCAATCTAATTAAATGGTTCATCTGCACATATTCGAAAATTTAGTTTTCTTTTAACTTTTAAAAATTAAATTTCCTTTTTGGTTGCATGGGTGATATATGCATGAGAATAACATAAATGCATGAAAATGATTTTAGAGAAAAAGTTGCCGTAATTCTCTTTTTCTTTGGTTTTTTATTTACTCATCAAATGTGTTACCCAATGATTCTTTTGGGCATTTTAATTACTAGAAATGTTTTTATAGATATCTAATTAATCTTTTTCTTTGTAAGTCTTGAATATTGATACTCAACGTTTCTTTTAGTGCGTTCAAAAAGTACATCCTTTTATTTGTAAAGCAATCTTTATCTTGAAGATTTACGCAATATGCTAAAAGTCTTCTATTTGGCTTGTGTATGAATTTGTCAAATAACTATATGTAATCGTTGTCATATTATCTCAAAAATTAGGTAATTGTTAATTATGGGTAAGTTCTTCCGAATACATCCTTTATATGTGTTTGTGGTTTTTATGCAAATGATAATTCTCCACTACTGATGTGAGAATTAGTGACAAGGAGACAATTTTTTATTTCCTTTTTAGGATAAAAAGATTGACAAGAAGGTAAATTTCTAAATAAATGACTCCGTTACGTGTTTCTAACCTAAACAAAATCATTGTCTAGTTTGTCTGGCTAGCTAGCTAGAAAAATTATTTTAACAAGCTACTAACTGAAAAATTGACCTATAATGACTCTCATGCCTCCTATAATTCATTCATATTAATTAATTCACTAAAGTATAGCATGTTGAACTAGTTACTACATCAAAATTATAAAAAAGTAGTTATTTCGTTTATCCGTTTAATCAGCTATTCTCTGCTATAAAGTACTCACCAATTATTATATCAAATGCCAGCTTCTTTTACCCATTGAAACATGCTAATGTAAATGGTGATTAGAGACAGATTCAGAATTTTAAATTATTTATGGGCTTTGAATCATAATTTTTTTACTTACTGGTTCGTAATAGATTTTCTTGTATATATTAAGCAAATTTGTTAATACAATTATGTTAGGATCGAAATAATCAGATGTCATGCAGAAGCTAACTAAGCAAATCTTGAACGATGATAAATCAAACAACAAAAAGAGAAATATACAAAAAGTAACACAACTATTTAATGTAGTTCGGTCTATTGTCATGCATCCACAAGCGAATATGAGCATTCCCCTATATAAAATAGAGTATAAAATATCGAGAGAACAACCTCACAAAGAGGCACACACAAGTGACATACTAACACTTGTCTCAAGAAATCTCCTCCTAAACAAGACTCTCAAACCCCTTACAACAACATTGTGGATTCTCCTAAATGAGAAGGAAGTATCCTCAATTTATAAAAGTCCAAAATCTTTTCTTCCAAAAATAAAAGCATTAGTCAAATATGGAAGAATTATATTTTCCTTTTCGTAAAAAGTAAATCAATTATGGCAAATATATTGCATTTCCTTTAAGAGATAGAAAAAATTAAATATGGTAAAAAAAAATAGTACAAACACCTAACAGTTCTACTCTTGGCTTGAATTTTCTGACAACGTAAACTTGATCCACCTTCGTCACATAACTTTCAACAGGTCGCATCTCCAAATCTCCACCATAAAGTTTATCTCAACGTGAGTAGCACTTCAGTCAGATAAAAAAAATGATTACTGTCAAATAGGTTGCGGCTAAAACTACACCCGCCTTGATGAATATGTGTTGAACCTCGCTCTAATACCACTTGTTAGAATTGAAATAATTAATGTCATTCGAAAGCTAACTAAGCAATCTTTGAATGATGATTAAACAGACAACAAAAGAGAAATATACCAAAAGAGACATATCATTTAATGTGGTGCAATCTATTGACCTACATCAACAAGCGGACAAGAGCAATTCACTATATAAAAGAGAATATAAAATATCGAGATAACAATCTCACAAATTAAAGAGACACATATAAGTGACATACTAACATTTGTCTCACAAATGGTTTCCCTAAACAAGACTCTCAAACGCCTTAATGCTACATTGCAGATATTGCTAAATGAGAAGGAAGGATTCTCAATTTATAGAAGTCCAAAATCTTTTCCTCCAAAAAAGGAGGACTAGCCAATATTGAATAATTATATTTTTCTTTTCGTAAAAGGTAAAATCAATTACTCTAAATATGTTGTCCTCCATTGAATAAATAGAAAAATTAAATATGATAAGAAAATCTGAACAAATACCTAACAATTTATAGAGTTTGAAACTAAAATTACTTAATTTTACCGAACCCGTAATTTATATTGTGGCTCCGCCCCTATGGTGCCCTGAAACCTTCTTTTCAAAATTGAGATGTGCACTGTCTCATTAAACAACTTAAAATACCCATACGGGGTAATGAGTATAGACACATTAAACTACACGAGTCTGTGTGGAATCTAACTTTTCACCCATAGATATATAATAGTAAGTGTATCAAATGGAAAAGAGTGACTTTTTCCTTCTTCCTTCCTTTTTCAATTCCTCTATAATATGTAAATCTTTTACGTCCTTAAATTAGTCAAAAAGAAAGGCTATTTTACTAAGGAACAGAAAGGATGGCATTTATATGTGGGCACGTGCTTATGTGTATCCATGTTCAGGTTTTGGCACGCTTCTCTTAATTAATTTCTTCAAATTTTAATTGTTTTTGTTTGATAATAAGGCACTTCTAGATTCGGAATACTAAACATATTTAATAATTATAAAATTTAGCTTTGCGACATGATCAGTGGCAATGACCAATAGTATGTACCATCGAAAGATTTGATTATCTTTAAATAATTTAACCCTTCTATTTAGTGTATTCTTGAGTGGATTTAGTTACATACTTCACTAGTGTTTAAAAAAAAAAATAGCAGGCGAGGCGAAGCCAAAATTTAAAGTTTATGGGTCTGAGCTTACCCTCGAGCTCATAGCATGTCTTAGTTAATTACTGGGTTCACAATTAAATATTTATAAATCTAATGAAGTTTTTAGTACAAATAATGATCTAAGCAAAAGTTACTGAATTCATCCGAACTCGCATCTAATACTCTAACTCCACCTCTAATTTTTAAGATATGACGAATATTTACCATTTTTACCGGGTAACAACATAATGCTTATAATATAATACTCTACCATTTTTTATTTATTTTTAATATGTTAAGTGCACCTTGAAAATGAAGGTGAGTGGAGAACTACTCTTGCTTGGGAAAATTGCATGTCCAGTGGCCTTAACATCATTGCTGTTGTTTTCAAAGAACATTATATCAATGCTTTTCTTGGGGCATATGGGCAAAACAGAGCTAGCTGGAGCTTCACTAGCAATTGGATTTGCAAATGTAACGGGCTATTCTGTAATGAAAGGGCTTTGTATGGGCATGGAGCCCATTTGTTCCCAGGCTTATGGTGCAAAAAGATGGTCAGTTCTAACCCAAACATACATCAAAATGTTTTTACTCCTCTTAGCTGTGACAATTCCAATCACATTTCTTTGGTTAAATGTTGAACCTGTCTTCCTTCGACTAGGCCAAGATCGAGTCATTACAAAAGTCGCCAAAGGTTACTTAATTTTCTCTATACCTGAGTTACTTGCTAGCGCGCACTTGAATCCTTTGAGAGCATTTTTAAGGACACAGTGCATAAATACACCAGCTACTTTAGTAGCTACATGCTCAACCCTTTTGCACCTTCCGATTACCTATCTTCTTGTAACGTATTTGAATTTGAACGTGAAAGGTATTGCGTTGGCTTCTTTTTTATACTCACTGAACATGAACATTGGCTTGATACTTTATTTGTTTCTGTCCAAAGTTGCAATTAAACCATGGGCTGGTGCTACATTTATCTCAACTTTCAATGGTTGGCGTCCCTTGTTGAGTTTGGCTTTGCCTAGCCTATTTTCCGTGTGCTTGGAATGGTGGTGGTATGAGATTGTTCTCTTCTTGAGTGGCTTATTGAATAATCCTGATTCTTGCGTAGCTGCTATGGGAATATTGATACAAACAACAGGGACAATTTATGTGTTCCCATTTTCACTAAGCTTGAGTATATCACAACGTGTTGGTCATGAATTAGGGGCTGGTAACCCTGACCGTGCTAAATTAGCAGGACTCATTGGTATCTTCGTGGCACTGGCTTTTGGGCTCACCGCGTTTGGTGTAAGCGTTGGGGTGAAATCAGTATGGGGGAAATTGTACACGAACGAGCCAGAAATACTTGCGTTAATTTCAGCAGTGCTTCCAATCCTGGGATTAGCTGAAATCGGAAACTCTCCTCAAACAGCAGCATGTGGTGTGCTAACTGGCTCTGCAAGACCAACAATGGGTGTAAGAATAAACTTAGCAGCATTTTACCTAGTTGGATTACCATGTGCTTGTGTATTTGCTTTTAAACTCAAGATTGGCTTTAAGGGATTATGGTTAGGTCTTGTTGCAGCTCAATTTGCTTGTATATGTATGATGGTGTATACATTAATGCAAACAGATTGGAAACTTCAGGCAAGAAGGGCAGAGGAATTGACCAAGGCAGCTTCAGACAAGGATGATGATTCTGGATCCAATCTAGTACCATAAAATATTACGTACATGCGATGCCGTGTTGAAGTGTGTGTGGCTTCATTCTTTCTCATGTACTAAATTCGTGGAATTAGCTGCTCTGACGTCTTGCTGAAATGTGTGTCCATCTCATCTAAAAACTTAGGTTATTACATAGAACATGCTTTTTAACTATTTAGTTATATTGTGTCTCACATATTTGACTTATCCCATTGTAAAATGTCTTTCTTTGTCTCAAGAGAATCCAAGGATTTAGGAGGGAGAATATAGAGAAACCAACAGTGTGACATTTCATTTTTTATTTTTTTGTTAACATGAGTTTGTGAGTTAGAGGGTTACGGTTTGTAATAGGTACCACACAAAAAAACAAGTGTATATTTTCTCCTCAATTTTGAATTGAATATGTTAGATGCCTGCATGTCTTTATCATGAATGTTACCCCTTTGATGAAGAACGCCAGTATATGTGGGAAAAAAATGGAAGGTTGGATGGCTACTATCACCTATACTATTAACTGCTTCTGGAATTGATTCACTTGACAATTGGCATTTGGACAATTTTTTGTTAGAATTGAAAGAAAAAAAAGTTTAATGTTAAAAAGTGTATTCCCTTGCTTGGACAACTCCAGTTGAAGTTAAAATGAGAGTATCTGTTTTGTACTTCAACGGTTTCAATATAAGCATAGTAGTTCATTGAGAAATAAAGCTTTTGGTCTTTCAAGAAGTTTTATGGGATGGCCTACTTAAGATCTGCTGTTTAACTTTTGACCGTGTTAAGATGTGACGACCCAAATTCCACCTAGTTGTGATGATACCTAACTCTAACATGCTAGGTAAGCAAAATAATAGATAACAAACTCGAATGAAAAATCATATGTGAACAATAAATAAGATGCCAGAATATCCATACAACTATCCTAATGATTGGCAGCACAAGTCATGAACAGCTAAAATTTGAATTACAACGTTGAAATACGAAATACTTCATCTGTTTGAAAAGTTACAAAATAGAAATACAAATCTGCACTACCATGGACTAAATGATGGTAGGTGGCTGGAACGCTGAAGTCTTCAATGCTTGCCCTCGAACTCCGCAGCCGCTTAGCTCCAAAATATCTGCACGCAAGGTGCAGCAGTTTGATTTTAGTGCAACCGACTCCAAGTACTCAGTAATTATCTTGATTAACCTCAGTGAAGTAGTAGCGAGGTTTTTAAGTCAAAAGATACTCACTTAAAATTTACATGTGCAGATAATAAGCAGGAAATAAGGGAAGAAATATGACGAATAATAGTAAGAGCATCAACTAGAGAACTAAGGAGCAAGTTAACAGACATGGCAAACAAAGACAAAACCTCATGAATCATTCCACAAAGGAAACAACAACAACAACAACAACAACAACAATAGCAACAATAACAACAACAAACCCAGTGTAATTGTAACGACCCAACCGGTCATTTTGAGCATTGGATTTCTGTTTGGTGGTTTGAGATCTTGAGTAGCTTCATATGATGTATTCCGGCTTGTGTGTATAATTGGTTTCGATGTTAAAGAGATTCGGGATTGATTTGGAAGAGAAAATTTCATTTTTGGAGGCCTAAAGTTGAAGAGTTGACCAAGGTTTGACTTTTGTGTAAACGGCCTCGAATTCGAGTTTTGATGGTTCCAATAGGTTCGTATGGTGATTTTGGACTTAGGCATATGTCCGGATTCGATTTGGATATTTCTAGAAGGTTTTGGCTTTGTTTGGCGAAAGTTCAAAGTTTGAAGGTTCAAAAAGCTCATAGGTTTGACCGGGAATTGACTTTGATGTTATCGGTTTCAGATTGTTATTACGGGAGTTGGAATAGGTTCGTTATATCATTTGGAACTTGGGTGCAAAGTTTGAAGGTGATTCCTAGTTGGTTAGAAGTTGTTCGACATGAGTTTTGAAAGTTGAAAGTTTGATTAGTTTATTAAGCTTGCATTGAAGTGTGATTTGTGACTTTGATGTTATTTTATGGGATTTGAGGCCTCGAGTAGGTCCGTGTTATATTTTGGGACTTGCTGGTATAATTGAACGGGATCATGGAGGCCTCGAGTGTGATTTGGGGTGGTTCCGGACCATAGTTGTGATGTTTGGAGCTGATGGTTTCTAATGCCTCGGATGTTCTTCGCAATCGCGAAGGGGATGCCTTGATCGCATAGTGTATGTTGGGAGCTGGGGCTTTGTGAATCGCGCAACAAGGAATCGGGTTCGCAAAGTGTCAGCGCTTGAAGGTCTTCGCGTTCACGTGGATGTAGTGCATTCGCGTAGGGCCAGAGTTGAGTAGTGGTAATTTTGTCTCCCGCGTTCGCGTTTAGTGTCTGCGTTTGCGATGTTGAAGCTTATTGTCTTCGGAGATCGTGATTGGTTTGGCGCGATTGTGTAGTTGGTTCTTGTCGTGACCCAAAATCCCAACCACGGGATTACGCCTAAAATCCTCTTGGTAGGCAAGCCAACATTAGCTAAAGTATTAACCAATTTTATCAATTTGAAAGCAGGATAATGATAATTAACGATAAATAAACTCTGAAATACATTAAATAGATACATAAGTAACGTAGTTTATGCTACTCCAAAAAATCCGGACTCACAAGCACATGAGCGACTAAAATACTACAAATACGGTCTGAAATGAAATACAATTGTCTGAAACTAGATAAATAGTAAAAACATGATAGAAGGGGACTTCAGGGACCGCGAACGCCGAGCAGATCCATCTCAAGTCTCCTGTAGAAGTCGGATCTGAGTAGTCTCCTCTACGCTCCACTAGGACCAACACCGGGATCTGCACAAGAAGTGCAGAAGTGTAGTATGAGTACAACCGACCCCATGTACTCTGTAAGTGTCGAGCCTAACCTCGACGAAGTAATGATGAGGCTATGACAGGACACTAACTATAAACCTGTACGAATAATAATAAAGGAAGGCAGAAATATAGACAAACCAGTAAACGCATAAGTACGGGACCCGAAGGTCAGCTAACAGAGGGCCCCAAAATAACATCATCTCGAATCCTCATATCATAGTACAGACAACTACCAACAGTTATAACACATCATATTCCATTGCGGCAACCGGATCCCACATTAACACAATATCTGTTGCGGCGTGCAATCCGATCAATATCATATCATTATCTTCTGCGGTGCACAACCCGATCCCAATATCAATTCATTAACATAAATAACTCAACACAACCAATAACGTAATCTCGGCACAAAAGGGAAATAAAGCATACTGAACATCAACGAACTACCGGTACAAATGGAGAACAACCAATACCTCAAAATCACGAACCTCGACAATTCATTAACATAAGAACAACTAAATGACTTACGCAATCAAATATAACATGATAAAGTGCAACAAGTAACGAAAAGACAATAAAGGCATTGAAGATATACAACTAATACAGGTAGGAACGTAGAGCAGGTAAATAGATATTGAGCGAAAAATGAATAAATCAAAACAGGTAATAGCTAAATGACAGATAACAAGTAAGGCATGGATAACAAGTAAGATCATGTAGCGCTCAAAGCATGAAACAATTGAAAACATGGAATAAGTGATGACATCAAGGTAAATAGCCCAACCCGCATGCTTTAAACTATGACAGCGCGTATACACTCGTCACCCCGCATATACGCCGTCCCCACACATAATTTACGTAGCAAGCAAATCAACAAGTCCTAATTCCCTCCAGTCAAAATTTAGACACGACACTTAATCTTTCTGCAATCAAATAATTACTCAACCACAGTCTTTCCTTTAGAACAAGCCTCCAAACCAACTGAATCCACCCAAATAACGTTCAAACAATTCAAAATAAGCTTTAAAAACTATTCACGAATGAAAAAGGTTCAATCTTTATCTTAATTGAAAAAGTCAACAAAAGTCAACCCCAGGCTTGCTTGGTCAAAATCCAAGATTCGGACCAAAACCCGATCACCCATTCACCCCCGAGCCCGGTTATGTGATTTGTTTCGAAATCTAACTTCAATTTGAGTTCTAAATCTCAATTTTAGAAAATTCCTAATTTCTACCATGGAATTCCTAGATTTGATGTTTGAAACTCATAAAAAGTAATGGGAATTGATTAAAAACTAGTTAAAGTTGCTTATCAATGATTTTGGGAAGAAAATCTCTTAAGAAAATCGCCTCTAGAGTGTTTAGGGTTGAAAAATAGAGTGAAATGAACTATGTCCCGATTTTTTCCTCTTTTACCCAGCTGCACACATCGTATTTGTGAAGTCTTGTCCGCAAATACGATGTCCGCACATGCGAGACACTGATCAAATATGCGACAAAAATCTCGCAAAAGCGATCCTGCCCTCCATCGCAAATGCGAGCTAAGCTTCGCATTAGTGAAGCTGCCAGCCCCTAGCTCCAAGTCGCATAAGCGACTCAGAGATCGCAAATACGACCATTTAGAGTCCGCAAATGTGATCATATCTTCGCAAAAGCGAAATACTAGTCCACCAGCGTAGTGTCGCAAATGCGATCATTTGACCACAAAAGCGAGCTAGAAAATGCAAGATCTACAGGTTGACACCAGCATAGGCCTTGCGCCAACAATTGTAAAACTATCCAAACTCATCCGATACTCACCTGAAACTTGCCCGTGCCCCTCGGGCGCCAAAAGGAATATGCACACAAATGTAATAACATCCTAAAAACTTTCTCGCTACCTCAAATCATCAAAATAACATCAAATAACATGAATCGATCATCAAAACTTAAGAATTTTAACTTTGAAACTCGTTTTCACAACTTTTTCACATAACACGCCGAAATGCGCTCGAGTCACCCCGGACCCCAACCAAACGTACGTACAAGACCAAAAATATTATACGAACCTATCAGAATTGTCAAAATATCGATCCGAGGTCGTTTACCAAAAAATATTGACCGCGGTCAACTCAAGTCTCAATTTATGTCAAAAATCACATTTTCATCAAAATTTTACATCAAAGCTTTTTCGGAAAACAACACGGACCACACATGCAATTTAATAAACATCAAAGGAAGCTGTAAGAAGTCTCAAATCACATAAATAAAAGCTAGTACTCAAATCAACCTATCGGGTCGTCACATTCTCCACCTTTAAAAGAAACGTTCGTCCTCGAAAGGACATAGAAAAGTACCTGGATTGGTAAAAAGGTGGGGGTATCTACTCCGCATATTGGACTCGGACTCCCACATAGCTTCCTCAATCAGCTGACCTCTGTTGATACCCAATTTTTTCCCTATGTACTTTTATATGCAAAATACTTTCAAAATAGCATGTACATGCATATATAAGCATGCCCAAGAGTGTTGGTATTTTTCCCTGTATATAAACTGTGCCGAAACCCTTCTCTTCTCATCTCCGGGGATGTGCTTACT